TCCATGGGCTAGATCCAGGCGGATCCCAGCTGGAACCATGAAGTCCATGCCGAGTATAGCTTGTTGGCCGGTCAGATCACCCACCCGGATATCGAAGAAATACACCAGTGATCCAGCGAGAATCACCTTTATCCGAGTTTTTCCTTCCGTCTGGTACACGTTGTCTCCAATTCCCACACAGTCTTGGATCTGACTCGAGTCGATATAGCACCCAATCTTACGAGCAAAGGCGGTATCCACGATGGACACCTCGGCGCCGGTATCTAAGAGTAAGATCGCCTTCTCATTGGGGATCTTGCCTGTGATCTTCGCTTGACGAAACCATATTCATGGCGAATGGTGCTTCCAGTAACCACGAGATTCTCCCGGTAGTAGATCCATGGTCGTTGACCGTCGGTAATCTGAGATCTTGCTAGGCTTCTGGATCTCCGGGGTAAACTCATAATCTGTGGGTTTAAACTATAGATCTGGATCTTGCTGTCTCCAATAACCTCGTGACTCTCCTGGTACTCATGGTGACTTCAGATCTGGCATATTCGTCGACTTGGCGAAGACTTGAAATTGCGAAGGTGCGTTTCCCATGCAGATCACATGTATTACCGTGTAGATCTGGTAGTTTACTAACCTGATCTACCGGTGTCTTGTTCACAAATGCATAGATGCAGTATCTAGAACGCTCGGCTCGTATCGGATTCCACCTCAACGAGCGTCCTAGTTTAACATCTTATTAGCAGCTTCGGGTAACATACCCATGTGCGTCGTGGGGTTGAACCACTGGCGGATCCGGTTGTAGAACTCTTCCATCTGACATTTTCCCATGTCGTGTAATTCTCCACATCCGCGACACACGAAGAGGCAGTGATCCGAAGGGTGTCCTCTCTTGCCACACTTCGTGCATGTAACACACCTCCAGCAATCAAGATCCGAGTGCTTTCTGGATCCACCGTGCGAGCATCGATCGCGGTTAAAACCATTACCGTGGATCTTCGCGTTGTTATCTTGATGGCCCCGGAAGTCGTGGATCCAGGTTCGGCGACTCTTTCTCCACCTTCGGGGTGACATCTTCGTTCGCTGCAAGGGAGATCCTACGATCACTGTCGATGTCAGAGCCAGATCCGCCCAATCCGTCAGACTCACTGTCGGATCCAGAATCGTTAGCTTGGATCTGGATCGCACGCACTTGCTTCGCTGGAGCGGGAGGGGCAGTGTTGATTGGCTTCTTCCGGTACTTGCTGGATTCAAACGCAGCCTTCTTTTGACGAATCTTTGCGCGATTCCGAGCGCGAAGGACTTCTTCAAGATCGTCCGCGCCAGTCAACCGTAGCAGAGTTAACCGTTCTGCTAGATCTTGATCCTCAAGCATCTCGATATAATGATCCACATGTTCACGTTGTTCCTTCGCGCTGCCATCCTTGATCTCCATTAACCACGACTGACGCCGTCGACAACTGGACAGTGTCGTCACATTATGCGTCAGCCGCGGAAGATGGATCCGACACTTCCTCGGAGCCACTGCGACGGATGCCCCTAGGACCCTCTGGAACATCAATGCTGGAGGCGAGATCCAAGATCTGCCGCTCTAGTCTAGCTAGAAGTAGTCGCCGCGATAATGGATCCGCACCAACAGATCAAACCACGGCCACCGAGAGTTCAGGCCGATTAGTCGGTTCCTTGCAGAAGTTCTTCAATGCTGCAATGGACCGATACTTGGCCGAAGAACGCGAGGCGAACAAAGTTCCAGCTACTACGCGTCCACAGCATCAAGGATCACAAGATGTCGATATGGAGTCCATTCGATCTTCCGACCATGGATCTCGCTGGGACTATGACCCGGACGATGTAGACTTTCCCACTTTCCCACCGCGGCACAAGCCACCGTAACCACCGCTGCTGCTGGATCCACAGGTTCCACCATGATAAAGCGTGTTCGGATCTCCGCGACCTTGGCCTCAAGGAGTTTACTGGCAAAGACCAAGACGAAGATCAGGCGCGAGCGTGGATCAGCAAAGTCAAGT